AAGTAACTCGGTCAGCTAGACTACGTTTCATAACCATAACTAACTCGCTGATATGCTTTATTTTATATTATTATAGTATTTTGTACATATTATTAGTATACGTTTTATTGCATTTATTATTTAATATAGATTACGATAGTATTTTGACAGTGTCGTAGAACTGGATGATACATGGAACTACAGATAACACTTGCAAGATTCTGATGTGAGTACTATTGAAACTGGTCTTCGTCAACTGATGGCATCCGCATCAAACAAACTAGTGAAAACCAGTATGCTCGGTAACGCCCTCTAATCCAAAGTAATGCCTGCATATCCAACTTCGGATATACAAGTGGGAGAAGCAGATGAAACGTGAAAGATATGGTTCTGGCTGAGGAGTGGGTTTGGCTCTCTGATTGATTGAGTGACAGACGGACAGACAGACAGAAATAGATATCTAATTTTCACATCTGTCTGTAATTAAATGAATCGCTGCCCACTACCCACTTAAGATCGATAGTCAGAGGCACTTCCTCAGTTATGATATGGCGTTTAGATAACTATGTCAGTGCCAAAACAGAAACCATTGTTTTTATCAAAATGTTCCTCACTATAAGCGAGATTACGCTCGCCCATGGATATTATTTAACTTAGTGTCGAACTGTCGAATGAGCCAGATTTTTCGTATTTGTATGACCACGACGAAGCATCGTTTTTCGATATGCAGACGGTGATGGAAGAATAAAGAATTTTTTGTTGAGGGTGTTGCCGTTATCGATTCCGTAGATACTGTGGCGAACTCTGCTCAACAGATGTTGGTAATTGAGGGTATAATGAACCACACAGTTGTGTTGATGACTGATCGTCTAAAGTGGATAGAACTAGTCGTTTATATATCAACATGGTCGCAAGCCCTAGAGAAGTTTTGCAAATTGTACATTATTCTTCGGTCTTAAGAATATGGCTGCTCCTATGAACTGTAGCTTAGTCTGTACATTAGTTGTGAAAGACCAAGTGGTGATGGAAACGATGAAATAGTAAGAATACGCTGTAGGAATATAGGAAGGTGAAGTGTTCAATCATTTGTTATTGTACGTCGTGGCCGACGACAATACCCGTGAGAGTTGTTTTAAATTTGCACGATTAAACTAGCTCTACCAGCACAAAATATCCCATGAAACTTATGATTGACTTTGAGCACGTCGATTACATCGAACGGTTAAGCGACTAGCAGAAGACGAAATGAAAAGACAAGTTGTAACCATCGTATTGCTGGTTTTCCTTACACTTTCATGACGGAGTCTTTCGTCGTGCCATCCTTTTCATGAAGTCAGTGGTGGAACGCCGATCTCCATTGCAATGCCGTCAACCTGGATATTGATAATTTTTTGAA